ACAAAGATCAGATATCCAATTCACAAACAATTAAGCCATAAAAAATCATCACACATCCACCACCTTTGATTGCCTAAATTTGGTTTTTCGCAAAGTTATGGACTCTTAAGGGTAACGTTCATGGGTAGTCTGTTTCATAACTCTAGAGAGCACAGTAAGCAGCCACCAACCAGACACAGTGCGGTAGGCGAATATGATTCTCAATTCACAATTTCTCACCACCGGAAGTAAGAACATACCATAATAAGCGTAGAGTTCATGGGTGGTCTGTTTCATAGCACTACTACACAATTTGTTAAAAAAGAAAGAAAGAAAGGTATTTAGCATCACGACGGAACAACTTTTAGAGGCCAACAACGACAACATGCTGCAACCACCAGAACTGGTATCACAACTCATAGGGAAAATCAAAAGATTTACTCTCAAATTAAGTAGTTACAACATCGAGCAATCGTCAAGCACATACACCATCACAAAAGTCACGGAACCTGATTCACAAAGCATTCAAACATTTGAAGACATTTCTGTAAAGGTACAACTTATATGTCTTTTTTCCAAGCCATTTCCATCAACATGCTAATAAATTTGCAATGCATAAAACAAACAGGCCAAAACTTTAAATTCAGTATGTTTGACCAACCCATGCCAAATTCTAATTATTCTTTACTTTTAAACTTTCTATTTGAAAATAAAAAATAGTGAAAGAAAAGAGACGACTACAATTCGCCATTTGCACATCACTTATTCGGGAATAAAACCATAGAAATTCAAAAGGAACTGAAAAGGTTTAGGATCGTTTTAATGTTTAAAATAACCAAATAGATCTTTATGTTTAGTTTTTTACTAACAAATACCAAACGATTCCCTATAAAATACACTATAATTTGATCATTATGATGTCAAATAATTATTAAATATATATTTGAAATGATCAAAATTGGACTAATTGGGTTGGTCGAGGTTGAACCAATGAATAACTTTAAAATACATTATATTTTAGCCACTAAGATATAAAATAATAGCATAATATATATTATGCAAGAGAAAATAGCTTGTTTTAGAATGGCAAACCAATGATGTTCATTTGTTTTACTTGATGGCCAAATCCAATGTAGGTCAGGCCCATTCAACTCTTTTATTTTATGGTTAGCGGTTAGCCCATTAGATACCATGCATTAGTTTATTGTTAAATTTTTTATTTTTAACAATAAAAAGGAGTATTATTTTTGCCTTTTCATTATATATTTTTATCACCCGGAGAAATAAAAGGGTATAAAGACAAAAATTGACACTCCTGGACACGTTTAAATCCGCATGTGCGGTAAGTTGGCCCGTTCCACAGAGGAAAGAGAAAAAAATTTTGACACTCCCTATTCTACCCTTCCTACAAACGCTCCTGGAGCTGGAAATTTGAAATGGTGGAAGAGTTTTTTCCACCCTGCTATTATATGTTTTATATTTAAAAGGATACAACAAATGTACTTAGTGTGATTGGTTATGATCCTTGTCTTTCTTTAAAATGGTCATGGTTCGAATCCCAGTATGTATCTTTTTAATGAATAAAAAAAAGTAATTGTGAAGACCAAAATGTCCTTCCTACTTTCACTCTCGTTGCAGGAAATTTGAAATGGGGCTCCTGTTTTTCCCTTCGGTGTATTATATTATGTGTAGACATATCGAATTATTGGAGGAGATTCGATTAGATGATTTATGAGTTCGTTAATTAGATTAGTTAGTTGATCAGATATTTGAATGAATTGTGTACACATATTGCGTGTGACACTTTCAAAAGTTATTGTTCGTTTGACCTGTCCTGAATTAAATTCATGATATTTCATCATCCATTGTTTTCTGGGCTTGACGTTGTAGCTAATATCATGGCTTTAGAGCTTAGATTCATGCAAAATCAAATTATGTGCTAATATATTATGTACTAGGGCTAGTTATTTGGTCCGGACTGTTTGGTTTTACCCGAAACTGGACCGCATAATCCGGATCGGGACCGGACTGGGATCGGATAGCAAACAATCCAATCTCATATTCGGGCTTAGATTTGAGGTAAAAAACCCGGATAAGAGACACCCAACACCTAAAATCAAGATAAAATTGGGACCAGACCGGGTCAAGACCGGACCGGATCAAGACCGGACTATATTCAATCCAATCTTTGGTCCTTATATTCCCAAAAAGACCGGACTGGAACCGGATCAATTTGGTCCAATTTAACCGGACCGGACCGTATAGCCACCCTATTATGTACTCTCCAATTCTGTAGGTTTAGAGAATTCATCCAAATTGGCAAGACCCAAAAAACATGCCTCTTTGTTGTCTATAGTAGAAATGATTGATAAAGAATCAAAGTAAATGGCAAATTTTGTATTTTATTATTTTCCGAATATTTTTATTATTTAATACAAATGCATCAACGTTACATTACAATTCATTCATACAAAATGTTGTACTTTGACATTACATGAACTCTTACAATCACACTTATAAAATGCATAATATTTTGAAACTCATGTATTCTAAAATACATGATTGTCAAATGACTCCTAGATAGATGGTAGTGTCACTTCAACTACAAATACCCACCTGGCCCACCCATTGGCCACCTTATATGACTTAATTAAACTCAAAACCCCATTAATAGATGGACTAATTAAAGAGGATGACATTCATCAACTGATCAATTCAGTGACCAACCCATTAATCATGCTAATTAATGAATCACTGGAAATGAAGTGTTATAAGGAAATATATTTTTATTAGAGGGAAATTTTAAACAAGCAAACTGCCTTAATCTAGTTTTTTTTTTTATAAATAGAATGGCACAAAGTCTAAACCAAATCCAGTGGCCAAAAGGGTCGGTTTAATTACTTGGATTAGCAAATTATAATACAGAGCACAGCTGGCAAAAGTACATCAAAATTGGGGATTAATTAGTACTAATACTTCCCCCCAAAATCCCTAAGGCCCTCTTCCCAATTGCCCCAATTGCCATTATATATTAATTAACTTTGGAAACAAAACAACTCACTCAACCCAAAATTAGCCAATCCAAGCCCTCTTAGCCAGCCAGGTCCCTCCAGCCCAGAGCCACCAAATACATATAATGCACATACATTCAACCATTCATGCACCTGGCTTAACCCATTTTCCCTTTTTTCTGCTGCTTTGGTCCATCCATGGACACTGGCTCATCAACTTGCAAAAGTTGTTATTTGTCAGACTTTCAAATTCAACCCACCACCAGGCCACCTACAGCACAAAATTGAATTGTTATTGTAAATATGAACCAAAATTCCATTGGCTAGCTACTTCTGAAATCTTATAAGTAAGCATTCATTAAGGACAATTGTACATATATACTTTTTATGTATGATGAGAAAGTTAATATTCCATGTATTGGAGAAGATTTGTGCACTTTAAGTATTAACTAGTCACGCACATCAAGAGGATTAGTGAAGTATCGGTTGTGATCGAATGCACGTGTTTGTTTATCCAATTAATGTGCTTCTCGAAACAGTGGATGAATGTTATGTTTGATATTTGCAATGTCATATATTAATTTGCCATTATCTTTTGAGTTTAGATTTTCGAATTAAATTTAGATTGAGAAGAATTAATTTGATTTTATTCTAGATGTTTGTGCACTTTTAGGTATTGACAAGTCACAAGATGTATCATGACTCCGTGAAGTATTAACTGTAATGAAAATCAATGTCTTACTCGGAAACAATATCGCCTAATGTTCAGTATACCATATCAAATTCATTATCTTTTGAATTTAGTTCTTAGTTTATGTTTGTACCAATAACACTAAGAAAATGTGAACACTTTAAGCTATTGACAGGTCACAAGGACTATCAGGAATTGACAATGTAAATATTTTCATAAGAATTAATGTTTTACTCAAGAATAATTTTTTCCCTAACATTCCTCAGAATCGTATCAATTTATTATCATTTTTATTTATTCATTGATTTATACTTATAGCAAAAAAGTCTACGCACTTTTAGCATCAACATGTCACAAGGTTTATCTAGAATATAAGAACTAATGTTGTGTGAATGCTATATCCATATATTCTCTAAATTGTATCTTTGAATTCAATTTTTTATTTTTATTTATACCAATAAATTAATGACTCCGTATATTAAAAAAATCGGCGCACTCTTAGTATCAACTGGCATCAAGGTTTATCTTATTAGACATTATCATGAAGTCACTGGGCCTATCAGGAATTGACACAGTATAAATTATAATAAAAATTAATGTATTACTCAAGAATAATATTATTTTCAAGAACTATATCAATTTTGTTGTAATTTTTATTTAATTTCTCATTCATGCTTATAGCAAGAAAATCTACGCACAGTCATATCGTATGAATGCTATCTCCCAATATCCACCAACTAGTAATCCATATCTTCTAAATCCATTTCTCGATTTATATTTATGCCAGTAAAATTATAATTCAATTCGATAAATTAGGAAAGCTGACAAAGCATTTTCAGTAACAACAGATATGATACATGATTTATCCGAGCGGTCTTTATCACCTTTCAGCAAAATACTAATTACAATAAAAAAATATTATTTCCCAATATACAAGAATCTAATTAATGTATTACCTTAAGAATTTAACCACATTTCCCCTAATCTAGTTACAATCACCTCTTATATATATAATCACAATATGCATTTCGAATTTCTAATGTTCTACAAAGAAAAGCACAAGTTAAAAATTAGCTAGTAAGGAAAAAGGGTAGCCGGTAAGAGTAAAAAGGAAGAGGGAAGACAGAGGAGAGACGATTACGCTATTTTTTAAATAGGGGAAACAAATAAAAATTAAATAAAAGGCGGTAGCCGGTCATATAGAGCAAATTGGGCGGGACGAAAAAAAAAAAAAAAATCAGGTTCATGGAAGGATTCAATGCATGGAAGCCGAGCTAGTAGAGAGCCATTGCATCTCTCGCTGTCGCTGTAAGCACACACAGAATTTTCTCTTTCTTTCCTTTTTTTTTAATTTTCCCCTTTGTGATATATAAATACATTTCGATGATTCCGTTTGCTTTAAAAAGTTGTAAAATTCCTTCTTCCGTAGCAGAGTACCTAAGCTTCATTCTCCTTCCCCTTCTTCTTCGTCCCTTTTCTCTCTGTGTGCTCCTTTCTCTTCCTTTTTTTGCCCCTTCTTCGAGGAAGGGGTTTCAAGTTGTGGGCTTCTCATTTCTTTTTGAATGCATTCAGGCTTTCTGGGTTCTTTGATCCTGGTGTATGTTCTCTTCTGGGTTTCGATTTTCTCAAGTTTCTGCAGTGGTTTCGCTCTTCTTCTTCTTCGAAATCAAGGAGTCTTCTTCTTCCTGGTTTCTGGGATTGTTCAATCATGCCTGCTCTTGTTAACTACAGTAATGGTGAGTTAGTTATTTCTGGACCTTTTCTCTAATTGGGTTTTTTTTTATTGTTCGAGCGTTTGTTTTGATTTTATGAATCTAATTGATCATAGCTTAGATGGGTATGAGGAAATTTGGGATTTTTGCTTTCTGGGGTTTAGTGTTTGTAGGGGGAAATGCCCCAATGAGAGCTTTGAGCTGATGATGTTGTTGTTTGGGCTTTTCAGGCGACGGGGAGATGTATTCATTCCGTGCAAACCCCATGGAATTGGCACAATTGTGTTCAATTGCTGGAGATGTATACAGCCCTGCTTGCAAGAGGGCTCGAATTAGCTCCTCATTCGCCTTCAATTCGGGGGAAAGCAACAGGCAGCCATCAATTGAAATCCTCCCAGACGAGTGTCTCTTCGAGATCCTCAGGCGAATCCCTGGAGGCAAAGAGAGGGGCGCGTGCGCTTCAGTGTCCAAGAAGTGGCTCTTGGTGTTGAGCAGCATCAGGAGATCCGAAATTTGCAAGCCGGTCTCTAGTTGTGGTGATGTGGAGATGGAGAGTGGTGAAAGCTTGGAGTTTGAAGATGATGGCTGTCTCACAAGGTCCTTGGAAGGCAAGAAGGCAACTGATTTGAGACTTGCTGCTATTGCTGTTGGGACTAGCAGCCGGGGAGGTCTTGGCAAGCTTTGCATTCGAGGTAATCACAACTCCTCTGGTTATGGAGTCACTGATCTAGGTCTATCAGCAATAGCTCGTGGCTGCCCTTCTCTCAGAACACTGTCTCTATGGAATGTCCCTATGGTTAGCGACAAAGGGTTGTCTGCGATAGCAAAGGAATGCCATTCAATTGAAAAGCTCGACCTTTGCCATTGTCCTTCGATTACCGATGAGGGTTTGGCTGCAATCGCTGGAAACTGCCCCAATTTGTCATCTTTGAGCATCGAATCTTGCTCGAGGATCGGCAATGCAGGGTTGCAAGCAGTTGCAAAGTTCTGCTCCAAGCTCCAATCTTTATCCATCAAGGACTGCCCTCTCATCGGAGACCAGGGTCTATCAGCTCTATTCTCGTCGTCTCCCTCAATATCAAAGGTCAAGCTTCAGTCTTTGAACATCACTGATTTCTCTCTCGCAGTAATTGGATACTACGGCAGGGCTGTTACCAGCCTTGTCCTCACTGGTCTTCAGTTCGTCAGCGAGAAAGGGTTTTGGGTCATGGGCAGTGCTAAAGGACTGGAAAAGTTGGCTTCTTTGGTGATCACTTCGTGCCGGGGAACAACAGATGTCGGCCTGGAAGCTACCGCAAAGGGCTGCCCAAGCCTGAAGCAAATTTGCCTCCGCAAGTGTTCATTTGTGTCTGATAATGGATTGGTGAGTTTCACCAAATCAGCACGCTCTCTCGAGAGCCTGCAGCTGGAAGAGTGCAACAGAGTTACAGAATCAGGAATCATCGGCGCAATCTCAAACTGTGGAGCCAAGTTGAAATCACTTGGCTTGGTGAGGTGCATGGGGATCAAGGATACAGCATCAGGAATTTCACTATCATCATTATCTCAATGCAGCTCTCTCCGCTCCCTCTCCATCAAGAACTGCCCCGGGTTTGGCAGTCTCGGCCTAGCTCTCGTAGGCAACCTCTGCCCACAGCTCCAGCACCTCGAACTCTCAGGGCTTCATGGGGTCACCGATGCTGGACTTCTCCCGCTTCTGCAGAGCTGCAATGCTGGTCTGGAGAAGGTCAACCTCAGCGACTGCTCGAACTTGTCTGACGAAGTGGTCACAACCTTGGCCAGACTACATGGTGGATCACTCGAGGTGTTGAATCTAGACGGCTGCAGGAGGGTCACCGATGCCAGCTTGGCTGCCATCGCTGATCACTGCATGTTCCTCAGCGACCTCGATGTGTCCAGGTGTGCGGTAACAGATGCTGGCATGGGGTATCTGTCAAATGCTGAGCAGCTGAACATTCAGGTGCTTTCATTATCCGGCTGCTGTTACTTGTCAAGCAAGGTACTGACTTGTTTGAAGAGAATGGGGAGGACCCTTGTTGGGTTGAACCTACAGCACTGCAATGGCATCAGCAGCAGGACAGTCGAGGTTTTAGTGGAGAGCTTGTGGAGATGTGATATCCTGTCCTAGTCCGCGGTTAAGTTTCGTCGTAGATTTCCTAGAGCAGCAGCAGCAGCAGCAGCAGCAGAATCCAGCAAAGTTTTTGGTCGTGTTTTTGGCCTAATCTGCTAACCCAGAGCAGAATAGGCCTTGCTACTAAACCAAACCAAACCAAGAAAAATCCAACACAGGCTTTTTGGTTGTTTTCCAGGGGAAGCTTTGGCTAAGATCATCACTCCTTTTTTTCCTCCACACCCATCATCAGTTTGCCCTCTTTTTTTTGCAGGCTATACCAAGTCTGTTTAAGGCAAACCCTACTACTACCACCATGATCATAGCCATTGTTTTCCCTTCACAGTCACCAGAAAGCCACTCAGTTTCCCCTCGTCCAAAAAACCCCCCAAAAAAACAAGACAAAGCTCTTAGCTTTTAGACGACCGTTCCTTTGTTATGGGTTTCTGCTGGACTGCAAATCTCACTGATGTTTTTAAGCTTCTGTCACCTCATGGACTCCAGCTTTTCTAAATTACTCAGCTGGTTTAAAGTTATGAAGTCTTGTTGTGTTCTTGTGTTTATGAATAAAGATATGAATTGGGTCTGCTCCATTGTAAGATCAAATCATCGTGGTGGGTTGTGTTTTATGTTTGTTTCTGTTTTTGGGGTTTGCTTTGAACAGTTTCCATGTTATGTTCATCGTTTGTACTGTGTCCTCTCTTCAATAAAACATGGTTTGTTTTGTTTTTTCATTGCTTCAACTTGGTTCAGAAGTGGGTAATGGATTTAGGTTCAGTTGCCTTATTAAAAACGAAGATGCTGTTGAGGGAAGGAAATAGAACAGCAGGTTCATTGTCTTTTTCTAGGACTTGAATCTTAATCCAAGGGAGGTGGTATTAGTGTTAGGTCGATGACGACAATGATTATGGAAATGAGATTCATTTCTAGCAAAACTTTAGTTAACATATCAGGTCGGTATGAACGTGAGGGGATAATAATGAAAATTGCAGGAAGCTTAGCCACTGAATCTGGGGAAGTACCTTGCCTAACACTATCTACTCCATCCATAAGAGTTTCCAAAATACCCTTAAAAAAAATTCGTCCAAATTGGTGATTAATAGACTTTATCGTCGATTAAAGAATAGTCTCATGCCGAATCCGTAATCTGTAGCCTTCAAAATTTAAGGAAAATGGCTTTTCGAAAAAATCGCCAGAATTTTGTGGTGGTATACCTTTGGAATATGGCAAAAATGGACTCGAAAAAAATCAATCTAAATCGGTGCTCAATAGACTTCAACATCGGTGGAGAATACCCTCAATCCGAATTCATGAAAAATGGCCTTTCAAAAAGTCGTCTAAAAGTTTACGAAAATGCCCTCCCAAAAATCCACCCAAATCGGCGATTAATAGTCTTCATCATCGGTGGAGAATAGCACATGCCGTATCCGCGATCTGTCTCCTTCAAAATCTAAGGAAAATGGTATCGAAAAAATCTTCTAACATCTGCGATGGTACCCCCTTTGGAATCCGCAAAAAATGGATCCAAAAAAAGCATTCCAAAGCTGTGCTTAATAGACTTAATCATCAGTGAATAATAATCTTATGCCAAATCTGTATTAGGTAGAATTCAAAATCAAAGAAAAATGACATTTTGAAAAAATTGTCTAAAAATTACGACAATGCCCTCCAAAAAAATCAGCCGAAATCGGCGATTAATGGACTTCATCATCCGTGAAGAATAGCCTTAGACCAACTCCATGATTTGTAGCCTTCAAAATCCAAGGAAAATTGCATTTTGAAAAAAATCCTCTGAAATCTGTGATGGTATTATGGTAACCCTTTGAAATCAGCCAAAAAATGGACACATAAAAAAATGTCCAAATCGGTGCTTTATAAACTTAATTATCTACAAAGAATAGGCTCAGGCTGAATTCGTGATCTGCAACCTTTAAAATCCAAGGAAAATGGATTTTCAGAAAAAGTCGCCCAAAATATGTGCTGGTACCCCTTTGGAATATCACAAAAATGGATCCGAAAAAAATCCGCCAAATCGGTGCTTAACATATTGCATCATCGGTGGAGAATAGCATCAAGCCGAATCCATGATCTGCAGCCTTCAAAATCCAAGAAAAATGGTCTATCGAATAAATCTCTCGAAATCTGTGATGGTACCCTTTGGAATCTGCCAAAAATGGACCCGAAAAAAATCCTCCCAAATTGGTGCTTAATAGATTTAATCATCGGTGAAGAATAGCCTCAAGCCGAATATGTGATCTGCAGCCTTCAAAATCCAAGGAAAATTACCTTTCAAATAAATTGCCAAAAAATTTATGAGAATGTCATCCAAGAAAAATCCGCCAAATCGGTTATTAATATATTTCATCATCGGTGGAGAATAGTCTCAACGCGAATTCGTGATCTATAGCTTTCAAATCTAAGGGTAAATGGTCTTTCAAGAAAATCGTCCAAAATCTATGATGGTACCTTTTGGAATCTGTCAAAAATGGACCGAAAAAAATCTGCTCATGTACGTGCTTAATAGACTTAATCATCAGTGAAGATAACCTTAAGCTGAATACATTATCTATAACTCTCAAAATCAAAGGAAACTAATCTTTTGAAAAAAAAATACCAAAAAATTAGGAGAGTACCCTCCTAAAAAAATCTATGATAGTTGTTTGCCTTTTCTGTGGTGGTGTTGTCACTTTTATACTCCAATCACTATAATTATAATCAACATTCAACTTATTTTGTACATGCTGCGTGCAAGCTAAAGCTCTAGATCTATCTTATCTTATGTATTTCATCGCACATAAAAGGCAAACAACTGGAGTATTTATTTTCTTTTTAGTACCCAATATAATGAGTCTAATTTGAACCTAAATAAATAAATAAAAGATTGAATATATCTCTACTCTAAAAATGATATTTACCACAATCAAATTTAAGAAATTGAATTTGTCGACTCATAGTTTGAATTCTCTTCTCATCTACACAATATATAATACGACCATATATGACTTCACTAAAATTCTAACGAATGCCGACAAAAATACCATATGAATGACGACGAGAGTCAAAAGAGAATCTGTACCATAATTAACTGATTCGTAAACACTTAATCTCACAATTTAAAGCTTGTTTAAACGTAGAAAATGCCACGATTCTCTGTATCTTAATGATCATTCTATCCTTATTTTCACTTTTGATCTCCAACGTCTAATTAGAGTCTTTGTATCTTAAATAATCATTCGATCTCTTTAATTGATTTCTCTGCCTATAAATTCTTGTCTCCACACATCTTTTTTCCTCTAACATTTTCTTCCACTAAAAAAGGCTTTAGACACTAAACCCTAAACCCACTTAAGAAAAAAGAAATATGGCCTCAAGAAACTCTCAGCTGATCAGAGCTATGGCCGTGCTTGTATTGGCCACCACTTTCCTCGCCATGGCTCCTTCGTTCTGCGTCGGTTCAGGTAAAACTACGTTATGTGAATATTATCAATCACGTTTCGTATTAAACCTCGTAAAAAAAAAAAAAAGAGGTGATGTTTATAATCTTTGGGCCGTGTGTGTAAATATTGTAGGTGGCCGGCTGTTGGAGAGCGATGGTGGTTCATCGCCTCCCAATTGTGACGGCAAGTGCAACGGTTGCACGCCGTGTGTTGCGGTTCCTTCCGTTCACGGCGGCCCTCCTCACAGCGGCGGCCCTCCTCCGCCCCCGCCGGCCGTCGCCGGGTATAACCCTCGTGAAGCAACGCCGTACAAACCGATCATCTGGGTGTGCAAATGTCAGCCGAAAGTTATTGCTTAATTAAGAGAGGTCATTAGGGCGTTTTTTTCCCTTAAGTTTTGATTAAACTTAGAGTCTATCTTATTTACCGTCTTATTGGTTGTTAAATAGTACAATTTTGTTTCAATTATGGGTAAAACATATCGGGTTCGATTGCATCTTTTGTGTGTTTATTTTTTCATCGCCGAAGAAAGTTCTCCATCGAAAAATATTTCAAGTCATCGCGTTGATACCGCGAGCCTTCGACCTATTTTTACGTGCTATATACCTTCATTTGCTCACTCATAAATTTGCGACTTAATATAATCGAACAATGCCCAAACGATTAACCTACTAGTGATATACGTTCAAAATTTGAGGCCAACAATCATTTGCCGCGTCGATGAAGCTTAATTACGCAAATTTGGTAAGGAGCACATTAATTAACCGATAAGCGTTGATATCAAAACATAAACTTCTGCCAATTTTTAGCTACATTAAGACGCCAGCATCTTTACACAAGCAATCCCCCAATTGGGCAAAATCTAAATCCCTAATTAACGAACCTCTATACTAAGAGTTAACCCTACACAGAAAAAATCTGCCAATTTCTAGCTAAGAGCCCTAATTAACACGCCACCAACTTACACAAAGCTTTCCCCTAATCACCCCAAAGTTCCAGATAATGGGTAAAGCTGATCAAAACTAGAAAGTAATGATTGTAAGTGTCTAATTTCCAATTAGGAAGTCTTAATTAATGAGATTTTAGAGGGATCTCTCTAAAGTCTAAACGCGAATCTCAGTATTAGCCCTCTCTATTTATACTCCAAAACTGTTCACAACTTGTTGCACACTAACACACAAGTAAAAGTCTTATAGTTACTACCAGAAGAAGTATGAGAGTTATCATGGTGGCTGTGTTGGTGTTGGCGATTTCTTTGCTCGTGCTTATGTCTCCCTCCTCCTCTTTTGCCGCTACAGGTAATTAACGGTTCGAACTCAGAGTGTGGTGTATAGATAACTGCATGTTACCTATGTACGAGATGTTTGTGTTACTTATTTTCTTGAGATATGGAATAATGCACGCAGGAGGAGGAGGAGGACGGCGATTAGGGTATCCTACGAGAGTGAGCACCACTCCAGGTAAAATTTTTTTATGATTCGGACCTAAAGTGTGATGGATGTTATTATATGACGTTATGTTGGGAAATGCATAGATGCAGGATCGGGGTACGAGGCGAAAGTGGGTTCAAACATTTTGTACTGTGAGCATCAGTGCCACGGCTGTACTCCTTGTGTCCCGGTGGTCGTCGTCCCCGGTCCACCGTCGTCGAACGTGGCCGCCGGCAGTGGGAATAATGAAGAAGGCTATACGCAGTACGAGCCAGTGGTGTGGAAGTGCGAATGTAGACCGACGGATGATGGCGGGATGGCTTGATTTGGAGTACCGGTCTCTATAGCTGGCGACTCTAGCTAACCAATATGTTGTTATCTTTTGATGTTTACCCTTTGGAATAACACGAATTTGGTTTCTACTGATGAAGTTCTTAAGTGTTTCGTGGGATTATGTCATCGTTTCAATGGAAGTCTCATCTCTTCTGAAGATTGCCAATGCAATAACGATAAACTTTTGGGATGTTACGAAATTAGTCAAATTAAAGTTTAATCGATTTGGTTAACTGTGTTGATCAATATAACATAAACATTATCATTAAGCGGGAATTTTTTTTCTCTTAATGCATCGGTCTATAATACAAATAAGGAATAAAAAATAACAATTAACAAATGGTTAATTAACCTTAACATTACATGGACATAATATAATTATCTTTCAATAATTAGAAATAGCCACCTAACAAAATTATATATCAATGATGTGGGGTGATAAATTGGGTGTGCCTTTGTGAATTAACTTAGTCTCTAAGCAATTATCATATGCTAAAAATCTCTTTCTTTCAGGTTTTCATCCAATATAATGCATGATTTTAATCTAAATTAGTTGTTAATATATTTTTGTTCACATTTTACAAGAAAATTATATACTATATGAACAGTTACGAGCTTTATCTTTTATGTATGAATATGTATGAACTTTTAACTATTGAGTGGTTATGTAAAGTTTTAAGTATGTTTTATATAATAGATTAGATGCACGACTAATTTTCTAACTAGTTAATTAGCTAGTTTGATTGGTTATTGGTGTTTGAAACCAAACCAAACCAGCTAACCAAAGAAGTTAAAAAATTTAACCAAATCAAATCAATTATCCAAATTAACCAAATTAAATTATCCGAATACTATCGATTAAAATGGTTACCACAGTAAAATAAAAGATATAAAGATTATAGAAAGAGTTAGAACTAGCAAATTGACTACAACAAACAACACTTTGGTGACGGTAAACTCGTTGCTAAAATGTTCTTACAAAACACCTTATCTGTCTGGTCCCTCGACTCAAGCCCAAAATTAACTAAATCGTTTCCGGGCCTGATTGGTGGAGCATTGGGTCTGGGCTAATTGAAACTTTGTACTGTACAATCTACAGAACCCATATCCAAGCCCAATAGGGTTGAATAAAAAACCTCTCTGTTCTTATTCTTTAGTTTTCTCCACCTGTCCGGCAGCTAGGGATGGCAACAAAACCCGAACCCACGGGTACCCACCCGACCCAACCCGGTCAACGCGGGTAAAATCCGTGTTGACGGGTTTTGGGTCGGGTTTGGGTTTAAACCCGTTCACTATTCAACGGGTTGGGTTGGATTTGGGTTTAGGTAAACCCGGCCCGTGGGTACCCGCCCACCCATATAATTAATTTTTTCGGTATATTTAATATTCTCAACAACTAATCTTATTTATGTTTGTGGAGACATGTCTAATTTTTTCTTTTTAATTGTGTAGAATGAAGTTGATGTTATGGAGTGGAGAGTAAAGTAACTTAATTGAAACGAAGAAGCTTTCAATTAAACATGTTATTTATGGAAAATTTGTGATTTGCTTCAATTTTTTTGAGTTTTCTAGATTGGTGTTGAACAATTTGTATAGTTAATTTGTGATTTGCTTGAATTTTCTAGAATGGTGTTTTATATATGGATAATTTGTATTGAGAGATTGATATTTGACTTTAATTTTGATAAGAACTTGTAATTGTAAATTTTTTACGACAAAACCCGTGAGTACCCATGAACCCGCGGATACCCAACGGGTTGGGTTGGGTTTGAGTTTTTCAAACCCAGTGGGTTTTACCCCGGGTTTTTTTCAAAGATAAACCCATGGGTTTGGGTTTGGGTTTGTCAAAACCCGACCCAACCCGACCCATTGCCATCCCTACCGGCAGCCGTTCCCAAACCATGGAGAAACGCCGCCGTCTGGAAACCGATCGCTGTGAAGAATCTAACCAAATCCCGACCGCAGCAGCCGGCGCCGGCGAAGAAGATGCAGATCGGATATCGCAGTTACCCGAAGAGATCATCCACAAGATTCTCGCTCTCGTGAAACCCTCAAAAGAAGCAACAAAAACCAGCGTCCTGTCCCAAAGATGGGCCGAACTCTGGCGATCTTACCCAGTCCTGGAATTCCACGATACCCAGTTCCCGTCGATCGAATCGGCGAAAAGATTCGCCGACGCCGCCACCAAAAAGTTCGGCGCCGGTAGTAACGATACCCTGATCGCCATGGAAGCCATCAGGATTGAATTTGTCTCGTTTGGGGTCGATCCAAAATCCTGCTCTGTTTTCCTCGACAACATGTTGGAGTCAGCGGCGGATCCAGGACATAAGAGAGCACTGGGCCGTATTTGAATAGAATATTAGATACCATAAACAAAAATATATAATAATATAGTTTTCATTACAATGCCAATTGTACAGAAAGGTATTTTAATTTAGCAAATTCATCAATAATATAATCTCAATCCATAATGATAATATACTCTTTTTCAAAGAAAATAGCTAAGTAATCAACGAGAAATTAATCGCTCATTTTGTTGCACAAATCAATGTTCATGTTCCATTGCTGAAAATATTCTCTTCATGGTAGTTGTGGCTAGGTCAACACTAGACAAATCAACCGACAAATCAATTTGTATTATGTGTCCATCCTTGTTTCCTCCAGGTTCTCTAATAATTTTGCAAGAGAAGAAAATTCATCCTCACACATTCTCCAAAGAATGCATCTCATAGCCTTCAAAGTCTCGAGGCTAAACTTTTGAGCAAGTTTGTAAATATTTTCTTCATCAAAACACCAGAAAGAACGGTTAGAATCTAGTGCCCCACTCAATTGAGGCAATCTAAATGATGACTCAGCAAGTCTGTAAATATTTTCTTAATCAAAAGAATGGAAAGAAAACCAGCTCGACGGGCTGGAGGAGAAATATCCATTTTGGATCTGCTCGTCTCCTCGTTCTTGTTTTGTTTTGGGGGGATTGGGAAATTTTTTGAATTTTGAAGGGAAGGGTGTGCTTTAGTTTAGATTTTGTTTAATGAAACTTTACACTTTTAGGTTTTCATGTCTTTTTTCAAATAAAATCATTGGGGCTATAGAAAATTTAGTATAAATTTAGAGTAATGGTTTGGATATGTTCATCTGAACCATTTTTCTAGTTACACAAAATCCTATTATTATCAAATAAAACTAGACTAAATTTTAAATAGCACTGGGCCAAATACCTAAATCGAAAATTTTATAAGCACAAAACTAACTCTGGATCCGGAGGAGGGCTGGGCCGGGGCCTGGGTTGGCCCAGCCCTGGATCCGCCACTGGTTGGAGTTGGCTGCAAAGAGATCTCCCCCACCTCAAGAGATCGACATTGCAGCCCACTTCTATGGTTCGATGGCATACACCATCCCACGGAGCTTATTCCTATCCAGATCCAATTCGGGCCACAAATTTCGCCTCAAAGTTTGTAGAAAATATCAAGAGGGGCAAAGGTTTTTGATCGGAAACCCGCAAGGAGCAGCTGCTCAGGGTTTCTCTGGTTTTTATTCATTTTTGAATTTACTATTTCAACGGTAAAGAAAAGTTCACCACAACACGTGGCTAACAACGACAAGTGGAAATGAAACTAACTCAACTCTCCTTATTACAACGCAGGTAAATAAACAAAACGACGGTGCGTTCCGGACGAAGGCTCGAAACGCTTCCCATACAGCGAATCGTCTTTGAGTCCGAAACGCGTTTCTCTGCTGTCTTCTTCAGCCTGCAGGTCGACAAGTTCACTCCAGCTCTGCATCATCTGCTTTGCTTTCATGAACACCTGCAGCTTCTCTGCATCATCTGCTTTGCTTTCATGAACACCTGTAGCTTCTTCCTTAGTATCTTGACAGCCTCCCTCAAGCTGGAGTGCACTAACTCCAAGCTTGTATAACAATTCCTTAATTCTGTACCTGCTTAGAGCTTTAGTAAACAGGTCAGCAACCTGATCAACAGTTCGAATGTATAGCAATTTGATCAAACCAGACTTCACCCTTTCACGAGTCACATGGATGTCAATCTCAATGTGCTTCGTCCTTTCGTGAAACACTGGATTTTCAGCGATATGTATCGCAGATATGTTATCACAAAACACAGAAATAGGTAGTTCCACATTCACACTCAACTCTGCAAGTAATCCCTTCATCCACTGTAATTCACAAACTAATTGAGCCAAAGCTCTGTATTCAGCTTCTGAAGAAGATCGTGAAACAGTAGTTTGCTTCTTGGCTTTCCAAGTGACAAGTGAGGTGCCAAGAAATGTGCAGTAACCACTAACTGATCTCCTAGAATCTTGACAACTAGCCCAATCCGAGTCACTGTACCCTGACAGCTTCAATGGTGAATCAGCTTTGAAGTAAATTCCTTGATTTGGTGACCCTTTAATGTATCTCAGAACCCTGAATGCAGCTTGCAAATGCTCTGTGTATGGTTCTCTTTGAAACTGACTGAGCTGCTGCATAGGGAAAGTGAGATCAGGTCTAGTGGTGGTAAGGTAGTGTAACCTACCAATAAGTCTTCTGTATTGCTCAGGATCCTCCAATGGAACACCCTGCTTTGCTCTCAATGAAACCTTTGGATCCAGTGGTGAGACACAGGGTTTGGCATCTTGATATCCAGTATCTTTAAGCAGTTCCAAGCAATACTTGCGCTGACTTACTGCAACTCCATCACTGTTCCTAACAATCTCAAGGCCTAAGAAATATCTCAGTTGTCCCAGGTCCTTGATTTTAAAATTCTTGCTAAGATACTTCTTTACTTCTTCCACATCTGCTCTGCTGTCACCTCCTATTATAATATCATCCACATACACCAGTAAAACCACAAAACGCCCTTGAATCCATTTGGTAAACATGGAATAGTCTGAAGCAGACTGTGAGAAACCATGCTGCAGCAAAGATGAAGTCAACTTAGCAAACCATTGTCGACTTGCCTGCTTAAGTCCATATAATGACTTTCTTAACCTGCAGACTAGCTTTTCAGGACCTTTAGCTCTAGGATCTCCTGGTGGAAGCACCATATACACTTATTCTTCTAAGTCTCCATGCAAAAATGCATTGGAGACATCCATCTGATCCAATACCCAACCCTTGTTTGCAGAAACAGCAAGTAATGCTTTTACAGTATTAATCTTGGCAACAGGAGAGTAGGTATCAAGAAAATCAATACCATAAACTTGTGTAAAGCCCTTTGCCACTAGCCTTGCTTTAAATCCTTCAATACTTCCATCTGGTCTCCTTTTGATCTTGAACACCCATTTATTGCCTATGACTCTCTTACCTTTAGGTAAGACCACAAAATCCCAAGTGTGGTTCTCTTCCAGTGCCTGAGTTTCTTCATTCATAGCTCTATTCCAATGTTCAGAGGCAGCAGCCTCTTGATAAGAACATGGTTCTACCTCATGCATAACACTCACTATATAGGCTTTGTCAGCTTGTGATAACTGATCATAATCCAGATAATCATCCATGGGATACTTGCTTACACTGCCAACATGATAATCATCAAATTTAACTGGCATCTTCCCTCTATTAATGCGAATGGGCCTGCCTTCATATTCCTTTTGGATTTCCAACTCAGGATTATCATCATTCTCAACAAGATCCTCTAAATAAATAGGTTCAGGAGTAGAAGGACTAGTATGACCAGAACTACTGCTAGCAGGAGTTGTAGTAGAAGGTGGAGGAGTAGATGAGATTGAGGGAGAAGGAGTGTTACTGGCACTGACCCCCTCTGATCCCTCAATGGGAGGAGGTGAAGGCTGGTAAATGGGTATACTGAATGGTGCCAAGGGTGGAGGAATGACTGGAGGAGTGGGAGCAGAAGTGGAAGCATCAGAAGGTGGGGTACGAAAAGGAAGAATGTCTTCATAAAAAATGACATTCCTGGAAAGAAACACTTTCTGATCAGAAAGTTGTAGAAGGATATAACCCTTGACTCCAGTGGGAAAGCCAAGGAAAACACATTGAGAAGCACGAGGGTGGAACTTTGTACGGCCATGAACCAGAGTTGAGGCATAACAAAGGCAACCAAAGACCTTTAACATAGAGAGATCAGGTAGTTTTTGATGTAATAACTGATATGGAGAATGATTCTTGAGTACAGGTGTAGGCATTCTATTAATGAGATAGACTGAGTGAAGAATACATGCACTCCAAAACCTTAAAGGGACACCAGATTGAAAGCGCAAAGCACGAGCAACATTCAAAATATGCTGATGCTTGTGTTCCACTCTTCCATTTTGTTCAGGAGTTTCTACACAGGAAGTCTGATGTTCTATCCCATGAGTTCTATAATAATCAGTCATATAAAATTCCTGACCTTGATCACTACGAATGGTCTTAACTGTTTTCCCAAATTGTTTCTCAACTCATTGACAGAAACCTTGCAGTAATTCACGAGTCTCTCCTTTAGTATGCATTAAGTAAACCCAAACTGCCCTACTATAGTCATCCACCACAGTTAAGAAGTAGCTATAGCCATCATAAGATTTAACTGACAAGGGGCCCCAGATATCAACATGTATAAGTGCAAAAGCTTCAGAGACAGTCACTTCATTAATAGGGAAAGGAAGTTTGTGTTGTTTGGAGAGGTGACAAATCTCACAATGAGAAACAGATTCATTGTGAGTTACATTGTTTTGCTTCATAAATAGCTGAAATCTATCTCTACTAGGGTGACCTAAACGCCAGTGCCATAAGCTAATGTCTTGTGGTTGGAGATTGTATGTGAAAGCAGCTTGAGGAGAGGAGGTGGAAAGTACTGAAGGGAAGGACTCGAAGGTAGAAAGGTCGAGAAGGTATAGTCCTTTACTTTGTCTTGCCAAACCAATGCTCTTCTGGGTCTGTAGGTCCTGAATGTCACAGACAGAAGAGTGGAAATGCAAAGATAGAGGTAAGTCTGTGGTTAACTTGCTAACAGAAATGAGGTTAAATGTGAAGCTGGGAACAAGAAGGACGTTGTAGAGAACTAGTCCAGAGGGTAGGTGCACTGTCCCTAAATGGCTCACTAAGACTCTTTGGTTGTTAGGCAAGTAAACAAAGGTGTTGTGAATCACAGTGTAATCAACAAAATGATCTAAAGAGCAAGTGATATGATCCGAGGCCCCTGTGTCAAGTATCCAAATGGTTTGCAAAACAGATTCATCCAAAGTTCTGTGTGAAGAAATAACAAACTTACCAGCTTGATTAGGGTAAGCAGGTAAGTATTGTGCCACAGAATAAGCCTTAGGATTGATCCTTGGTGAGCTACCAGGTGATAAGGGACTAGCATCAATACCAAACTGCAAGAGGGTCTTGAGACGAGTAATTTCATCAGTGGAGAATGCAT